TAAAATTAAAACTATGCAACAATACACAGGGTGATCTGAATATCTGTTGGTAAGTCGTTAAATCTTTATGGTCACTAAATGCTTTATTTATATGATCTATAACATTAATTTTATCTAAATATTTACAGTTCTGTAAATTTATTATATATATATTCATTCTAACATATTTAAATTTACAATATATTTTGACCAATAGATAATCAATTATATGGACAGGGTAATGTAAAATATTTACAATAAATCGGATTCCACCAAGATATCAAATAGCTGTCTGCGATATTACTTCGGTGGAAGCGGACGTTAAATAAAGCTATTTCACTCCAGAACAAAAAAACTCCCAGAGGTTAGGTGGAAAACCACGCAAATGTACAACCCACAGTACTTTACCACGTGATCTCCAAAACTATAACTTGTGGTATTAGTACTCACACACAGGACGTAAGGTCTGACAGGGAACAGTGTCTAGTAATTTAAATGGGACGGTCTATAGTTTTAATTTTAATAACTCTGGGTTAAGATTGGCTTTTTGTCAGGAATGGGGATATTAGCGCATACTCTAGAACATCAGGGACAATACTGGGAGGGGCGATCCAAGAATGTTACTTTGTTTCAACAGCCAAGTTTTCATGCTTACATGTAGAAGAATTGCCCTTTTCGAGCTGGGCGTGAGTGAACCACTCGTGCCTGAATGTCAAAGAGTTCCTGGCGCGGGCCCTGAGATTAATATTCCTATCCTCGCAAGGGTTTGGTTTCCCCGGACCTTTTGGTGTACAATCGAAGAAAAGGGTTTGAAAATACGTTTTCTATCAGGTTTTGGTGAATATTCATGATTTTGAGGCGTAGGATACGTGAGTTGAGAGGTTGGTTAGGTTGAAATGTAGGGCCGAAAATTGTATGTTTACTTGTCTCTACTTCCAGCTTGTGTATCTCAAGTTTTCCATGGTGAACCTCATACGTGCTTTTAGGCTAGAGTTTGGCACATGTTGCTCCATCGTTGGCAGAAAGCGTTCTACTCAACGAAAATTTCGGAAAAAGTTAGAGCCGATCTAAGAGACGAGAATTAACATTAAAGTCAATGGGAAGCATTTGTTCATTGCCGTCCACGTGGGATCGTAGAGTTATTGTGAATTATAATGCCAAATATAAGTTTAATGTCAATAAACATATTAAAGAACGAATAGTAATAATAAAAACGAAAGTCAAACATATATATGTTATACATATTTGAAATCAGCGAAACATATAAAGAGGAAACCGAACCGCCTTAGTGGTATGAATGTTATTAAAATACGTTATAGTACATATGACTCCTAATGATAAGTTGTTACAGAGCGGAAAGACAACGACCTTGTTCTGAGTGGCCCTACGATTTACCCTATACGACCAGGGCCCTGTTTCACGAAATTTTAACTAAAGATAAAATCCAAATTTTAGTAGATACTTCAATTTTGATTGGCTAAACACTAAAATCAATCTAATATTATCCAATCAAATTACTAAAATTTGGATTTTATCTTAGTTAAAATTTCGTGAAACAGGCCCCTGGCTGTGAGCGCCAGGACGAGTTTCCCAATACGACCAGACTGTGAGCGGCAAGACGAGTTACCCAATACGACCAGACTGTGAGCGGCAGGATGAGTTACCCAATACGACCAGACTGTGAGCGGCAGGATGAGTTACCCAATACGACCAGAATGTGAGCGGCAGGATGAAATACCCAATACGACCAGACTGTGAGCGGCAGGATGAGTTACCCAATACGACCAGAATGTGAGCGGCAGGATGAGTTACCCAATACGACCAGACTGTGAGCGGCAGGACAAGTTACCCAATACGACCAGACTGTGAGCGGCAGGATGAGTTACCCAATACGACCAGACTGTGAGCGGCAGGATGAGTTACCCAATACGACCAGACTGTGAGCGGCAGGATGAGTTACCCAATACGACCAGACTGTGAGCGGCAGGATGAGTTACCCAATACGACCAGACTGTGAGCGGCAAGACGAGTTATCCAATACGACCAGACTGTAAGCGGCAGGACAAGTTACCCAATACGACCAGACTGTAAGCGGCAGGATGAGTTAAATAATAATAATAATAATAATACGACCAGACTGTGAGCGGCAGGATGAGTTACCCAATACGACCTAATTGTGAGAGGCAGGACAAGATACCCAATACGACAGGACGGTTTACACTCTATAGGGCCCAGCTGTGAGCGGCACGATGATTTACTCTATAGGGCCCAGCTGTGAGCGGCATGATGATTTACTCTATAGGGCCCAGCTCTGAGCGGCACGATGATTTACTCTATAGGGCCCAGCTCTGAGCGGCACGATGATTTACACTACATGACTAGGCTGTGAGCGGCAGGATGCCTTACCTTATAAGACTCGGCTGTGACTGCAATTACAAAGATGGTGCCTGGGGGTGAATCGCTTGAGTTAGCCTGGTCGCTACGCACCTGCATGACAATGTATATTATTATTTATGTACCTTATAATGAACCCACAAGCTTAAATTATGTATAAAACACAAAATAAAAATAATTTGAATAAAAACATGTTTATTATATTTAAATCCCATGACATGAATATAGTAGTATAAAATATACTCCAACTTATAGTATACAAGAAAATAATACTGTTTATAATATAAAATACCAGATTAAAACATTATGTAAACTAATATTTTACAATTAATTTCCTTATCAACATTTATTGCTTAATTAACTATCCGAGGAGAGGAGTTTTGGACGAATCATCCTAGGAGAGGAGTTTGGGACGAATCATCGGAGGGGAGGAGTTTGGGACGAATCATCCGAGGAGAGGAGTTTGGGACGAATCATCCGAGGACAGGAGTTTGGGAAAGTTCCACCACTCATCCCAACAGTAAAACTAACGATAAACAGTCGTTCGTCCAACATTCATCAGTAAAACTAACGATAGAACAGTCGTTCGTAAAACCCAGATTGAACAAGAGTTAAAATTAAGTGAATAAAACATGTGTAGAATATATAATGTTTTATTGCTTGTATGATATATAGAGAGATATATACATGATACCAGGTAGAGACGTGTGTCGAGTATTGACAACATTTATATATATATATATATATACACATCCAGTCCACCATATACATATACATAACATAGTAAACATACTCCCACTTGACAAAAATATATAAAATATTCTCTTCATCATAGTCTGTTCTTTCTAGAAATGACAGTAGGCTAAGTTCCTGATGTTGACGGTTATCAAAGTGACATAATGTAATAAAGACTACTGTTGTTAAGAGGGGTTACCTCCCTTGAGATAGACGTCATCTTTTTAAACACACTGATCAGCAGTGAATTTTCGCTAGGCCCCTACAATCACTGATAAGGATGACATTGATGCGACTTAATGAGTCCCAAATATTAACTTTTTTCTTCCGTCAAATTAATTTCTAAAACATTTTTTTCATTTATTAGAAAAATAAATAAAGACGTTTGAATTATTTGTAGGTAAAAATCATTTCCTATTTAAATGTAGTGTAAATGGGTATTAAAATAAGTAATATTGAGCCAATGATTGACGCCGCGTCTTTTCACCGCCCAGTTATATAATTCACATGGAGGGTGTTCGAGACTACAAAAATACACAAACAAACCTTCTCTTGCGATTTATCTTATAATTACACGCAGGAAACAGAGTTTCCCGCCTATTCTATATTTATTTTAATGTTACAAAAATACCATCCATTAAATTCAAATATCTCATTATTTGATTCCGCGTTAAAAATAATCTCGTTATTAAAGACTGATTGAGCATTATTCCCCATGTAACACTCTAACATTCAAAACACACAATTAAAACAAACAATTGGTGAATTTGAGGGAGCAGAATCTCATGCTTTCAGTAGCCCTGTCTGTTGGTCACTACAGTTAAAGGACAGTAGTGCTGTCTGTTGGTCACAGTAGTTAAAGGACAGTAGACCAATCTAGAGTTGTAGATTGTGTCCATGGTAGGAAGGTTGTATTCTTGTAGGACACTAGATCAATCAGTTCAGATAAAACATGTAGAGTTGTGTCCGTGGTAAAAACAGTGTGTTCTTGTATGATACTAGATCAATCGAGTACAGATAAAACATCTAGTGTTGTGTCCATGGTATCTTTTATCTTGGTGGTTTAGGTTAAGTTGTTAATCTAGTTTCAAGTTCAATTTTCTCTTCACTAGCCTGTAAAGCTGCGGGAACTTTATAAAGTTTTAAAGCCAAACAACAGAATATAATGGAGAGAACTTTAGTTCCTAGAAATAGTAGGTAAATATTTCTAATCATGAGATGGTGATCGTATATCCAACATGATAATTTATTACCACATTCTTCCCGCCATACGATACAAGAATCATCTAATAGACGACCGAATATAACAGGTCCTGGAACAGTACCTATAATATATAATATATAGACCGAATATAACAGGTCCTGATACAGTACCTATAATATATAATATAAAGACCGAATATAACAGGTCCTGGTACAGTACCTATAATATATAATATATAGACCGAATATAACAGGTCCTGATACAGTACCTATAATATATAATATAAAGACCGAATATAACAGGTCCTGGTACAGTACCTATAATATAAAGACCGAATATAACAGATCCTGGAACAGTACCTATAATATATAATATAAAGACCGAATATAACAGGTCCTGGTACAGTACCTATAATATAAAGACCGAATATAACAGATCCTGGTACAGTACCTATAATATATAATATAAAGACCGAATATAACAGGTCCTGGAACAGTACCTATAATATATAATATATAGACCGAATATAACAGGTCCTGATACAGTACCTATAATATATAATATAAAGACCGAATATAACAGGTCCTGGTACAGTACCTATAATATAAAGACCGAATATAACAGATCCTGGAACAGTACCTATAATATATAATATATAGACCGAATATAACAGGTCCTGGAACAGTACCTATAATATATAATATAAAGACCGAATATAACAGATCCTGGAACAGTACCTATAATATATAATATATAGACCGAATATAACAGGTCCTGGAACAGTACCTATAATATATAATATATACCATCACCCTGATTAAACAACAACAAACATATACATGAGTAAATATACATGTGTAAACAGACAAGTGTAATCATGAGTAAACAGACAAGCGTCATCATGAGTAAAAAGACACGTGTGATAATGAGTAAATATACACGTGTGATAATGAGTAAACAGACACGTGTAATCATGAGTAAACAAACACGTGTGATAATGAGTAAACATATACGTGTAATCGGGAGTAAAAAGACACGTGTAATGAGTAATCAGACACTGTAATCATGAGTAAACTGACATGTGTAAATGAGTAAACAGATACGTGTAAACATGAATAAACAGACACGTGAAATAATGTGGAAACTGACACCTGTAAATGTAATTTTATATATTTATCTGAAACTTACCTAAAAGACGAACTATAAAAAGTTTTAAACCTTGAGCAAACGTTTTATCTTCAGCATCAACACATCTTAAATATAGAAAATAGTCAATTTAGAGAACATCTTAAATATAGAAAATAGTCAATTTAGAGAACATCTTAAATATAGAAAGAATCGGCTAGGTATTAAAATGAAATTTTATTAAGAAAATTAAGTTTATATTCATATTTACCTGAGCTGGACGGAATCACCTGATGCCACAGGTAAAAAACAGAAAGATATGAGGATAAAGAGTAAACACAAGAAGACGTAAAGAATAGAACACGATTTCCTACAAACAGTTGATTTAACTGAATTCTTCTCTATTCCAGAAAACATACTGTCTTTAGTATTTACACAACTACATGATGTATAGCCCTGGAATATGAATAAAACAACATATTTAGCCCTGTAATATGAATATAACAACAAGATGTTTAGCCCTGTAATATGAAAATAACAACAATATGTTTAGCCCTGTAATATAAATAAAACAACATGACGTATAGCCCTGTTACATGAATATAACAAGATGTTCAGCTCTGTAATATAAATATAACAATATATGGCGTATAGCCCTGTAACATGAATATTACAAGATGTCGTATACTTACTGAGAAATTAGCTGATGACGTTTTAACTGTGCACCCAGCATAGCATGGTGAGAAATATATCATCCCATCCACGTCACAAACTGGTTCGTAAATATTAGTTGAACAGTCACATCCTTTATTACATTCCGTTGTTAAAACTGGTGTAACATCGTCTGTTAAATTACTACAACAGATTAAAACACTATCAAAGAGTGTGATACTTATAGCCAATGACGTAGCTTGCAGTTACAATGGTTGGACAGTGTCTTTAACCTAAAGACTAATAGTACCGCCCTAGTGATTCCATAACCTACTCGCTATCAATCTGCTGGATAAAATAGATACGGTGCTTATTCTACAAGATATGGTAAAATGGATACTTACTCTACAGGATATGGAACATTAACTCCAGCTATTTCCTCGCTGTTACATTTTATCCACAGAATAGCACAACCAAATAAGGAAGCAAACATGGCTATTATACACAGACGTAAAGTGCCTCGAATATCCAGTTTTAATCTCCTGGTTATATACCCTCCTAAAAACTGACCCGCAGCAGCACTCGGTACAACGGCTATTCCTGAAATACATGGAGAATTAAAATTCCACACGCTGCATCTAATTTCTTAGTGTTATTGTTAGAGAATTTCCAGACCGTTCGTGTATGGGTATACAATTGAACCATGACGATACTCCACATTTCTCGCCCAAACACAGAATTGTATGAAATTTGGATATCGTTTCTTTATAGACAAATGAGAAAAATATATTATTATTATTATTGTTCGATTTATATAGCGCTTCATTACACGTGAAGTGTTTCTAAGCGCATATCACAAACATATACTTCAAACACACAGAAACGATCAAAATCAGGAGAACATAATTAAACACAACTGCCTGTTAGGCGCTATTATTCAAAGGTTTATATCAACAAATCAACCGGCTAATCTCTATATTGATTCATTCGAGGTTTTACCTGATGAACACCTACACCAAGTAGAATTTAAAAATAAAAACGAAGTTTAAAAGAATCAACTTCATTAACAAAAATTAAACAATCAAAAACTAAACAGATAAATCAAATTCAAACGAAACAAATAAAACAAAGAAAATGAAAAGAGCAGTTCATTACCATTCTACATTAACAAAATAAAGGAAATCAACTTGTGAAAATTTTTTCAAAAAAATAAGAGCAAAGTAACACTAATGTTAATACTTTTTTATCGACCCTACTGAATACATAACAATTTGACAAAAGAAAACAATATACATATAATTTTTAGCGTAAATTAGTCGGAATGTGAGAAAGCAATTCCAGGGGGCGCGATCAGCTGTTCTCTCTGCACGTGGTTAATAATAGAATAGTGTCATGTACAGGTGCAACTTCGTGTTTGAAATTCAATTTTGTACTGATATTTTAGAATTTGAATTCTACGCATTTCTCAACGGCAAGGTCATTGGCCTCTACATTAAATTTAAAGCATGATTTGAGACGTATGTTTTACTTGCAATATCATCTAATCGTTACATGTATATAAACAGTACCTGTATATAAACATTACCTGTATATATAGCTGCCATAGAAGCCGACACACGAAATTCCATTTCTATAACTTTAGGTAAGAAGGTGGCGCTACCACCGATAATAGCTCCCTCTGTTAACATACTCAGAGCCAAAAAAACAAAGCAGGGATTTTTTAATAACTTGGTAACAACACCTAGAAAATGTTTCAATGATCTCTCGGTTTTTATATAACTAATGGTAGATTTCTCTGATCCGTGGGCTTCTGATATTCTCGTTTCTCGAACATGTTTGGCACCTGTAAAACACATAACACACATTAATCTTTTGACCGGAATACCCCCACCCCCTCCCTCCCCGATCATCTACCAGCACATGTGTGAGAAAGTGTCATGGTCATGTGCTTTGTCCTTTATCATCAGATGGAGGGATGGGATGGGCATTTAAAGCGCGAGATAATGATATAGACATATGTGAAATTAGATCATAATTTGATCCTATTAATTCATAACAAAAATTGACTTGTATATGTATGCCTAGCAAAGTCTTATTTTCTCACTAAAATGTTTCTTTACATTGAACGGGTGTTCACAGGGACTGACACGTGACCGTTTAGTAGTAAAAAGTTGCCCAGTAAAATTGAGAGGGGGATGATACTTTTCGACAAGCATTCCATAGGGCGGTTCCTGAACGTACAAGACGAGTGTAATGAGACCTACGTTCAGAGCTGAACTGGCATAATGCATGTTTAAAACATTGACGGTCATATGAAACTCGTGAGTTGAGAAGCAGAACATCAACTTACTAGGTAGTTCTTTCCCGAATAAAAACAATGGAAGAGCAACTGTCAGGTTTAAAATAGCTGCAACCAGAAAACCAATCCACCAGGCACCAACCCATCTGGGATCATCGGGAGTTATAGACAGTCTAATAAAATATCATGAGTTATAGACAGTCTAATAAAATATCAAGAATTATAGACAGTCTAAAAAAATATCGGGAGTTATAGACAATCTAATAAAATATCAAGTTATAGACAGTCTAATAAAATATCAAGAGCTATAGACAGTCTAATAAATTATCATGAGTTATAGACAGTCTAATAAAATATCGGGAGTTATACACAGGCTAATAAAATATCATGAGTTATAGACAGTCTAATAAAATATCGGGAGTTATAAACAGTCTAATAAAATATCTTGAGTTATAGACAGTCTAATAAAATATCGGGAGTTATAGACAGTCTAATAAAATATCATGAGTTATAGACAGTCTAATAAATTATCGGGAGTTTTAGACAGTCTAATAAAATATCAAGAGTTATAGATAGTCTAATAAATCATCGGGATTTATAAAATAAAATAGTTAACATCATCTCCTGTATAAAATAGAATGACAGTATCAGCTGGTTTAACATGGGATGTACGTGTTTATTTATATCAACAGGTTTAACATGGGATGTACTGTTTATTTATATCAACAGGCTAACTGTTTATTCTATAACATTAATATAAAGAACCTTACCCTGCTGAATCCAGACGATCAAAATCGACGTAAAAATTGAGGAATTGTCCACCGACAATATATCCTATCCCCGGACCTAATATAGAACAGCCGTATAAAATACCTGTAAATATAGAACATTCATATCCGTCAATACAAAACACCTGTATCATACCTGTATAAAATACCTGTAAATATAGAACATTCATATCCGTCAATACAAAACACCTGTATCATACCTGTATAAAATACCTGTAAATATAGAACATTCATATCCGTCAATACAAAACATCTGTATCTACATGTATAAGATACCTGTAAATATAGAACATTCACCTGTATCATACCTATATATACAGTTGTTGTATAGAGTTGTTTAATAGAGTTGTAGTATACCTACCTATATATAAAGGTGTTGTAGAAGAAGAAACGCTGTCATCTAATAAAGCTATACCCACAGTATATATAGTTGTACCACCGACACCATGTAACATCTGACCCAATACAAACACATATAAATAACTCGATAAATACGTTTCTTCTGGTTTACAGACTGCCGTAGTGTTACCATCTACAATATATAAATAGATTGTTAGTTTCATCAATTAATCTATAGTATATTGAATGTAATGGGGGCGACGACATAAATTGTTTCCCAAGCAAGTTGGATGTCAGGGAGTGCGATATAAAAAGTAGACACAGAGCAGAATTCAGGGGGAATATGAAAACATGACATCAGGTTGTTTTATGAATTTAATCATCTTTTTACAAACTATTTGATGATTTCTAACAACTGATATAAAACTACGTTTCACATGGAAATGAGTACCGCACGAAGATAACCGCATTTTCTAATGAGTACCGCACTAAGATAACTGAATTTTCTAATGAGTACCGCACGAAGATAACCGAATTTTCTAATGAGTACCGCACGAAGATAACCGAATTTTCTAAGGAGTACCGCACGAAGATAACCGAATTTTCTAATGAGTACCGCACGAAGATAACCGAATTTTCTAATACCTGTCATATTTAAATCTGAATTAATGTTTTTGACTTTGGGTCAGATTTTCCATTCGAAATATTATACAAATACCAACCTTGTAGACAAAGTTTTATAACTTTTTCACCAGCTTCATAAAATCCAGTAGAAAAATGTGGAATGGACATGACAAACGAGCCTAGTACCATAAACAATCCGGCTACAGCCAGCCATTTAGCCTTGTTCTTACCAGACCCAAAATAACTGATACCCAGGCCCAATATTGCGGCACTAATATCGTAAGCACTGGATACCATGCCTACCCTGGCACTGGACAGATTAAATCTTCGTTCCATGGAGGTCGTGTTAACGTTGTTGATTCCATTCACTACAAAACCTGCAACAACAAAAGCACATAAACGTTTCATAACATGCGCAGAACTTGTTTACGCCAGTCAGATGGTGAGAATATAAAATAGATGGACCTCATATAAAGTCATAGGTAAACACTGGACAAACATCACGTCCAATCAATAGGTAAGTTTTCGTTTCGTTTTTTATAGTTCAAAATTTCGTTTTATTTGTTTTTACTACACTTGGATCTGGAAGAGTTGTTACATAATAGGCGTTCTTATTGATGTGAGGAATTAAGCAATGAAACGATCTGTTACGGCGAGGTTTTGGCCTTTTGGTGCACGGAACTGTGGGTAAACCATTAGAAACGTCAACGCTGATTAATTAATCAATGTCTGACGTTATAGGGCCAAAAGCCGCTCGTTTGACCCCTGACGTGAACTCCCGCTATAAGTTGTCGGATCGCCATGTAGTGTTGGCCACATAGATTTATAATTTAATCAGATTGAGTGATCCAAGGCAACATCCCGAAACGTAATTATTAAATTCACCACGATTCGCCTTCGTCTTATAATCTCGTGTCTATTAATGTGAAGTCAATCTGGCATCGGTTGATCAGTTGAGCCCCAAGAACATTCACAAGATAGGTTCAAAATAATCAAGACAGGGGAAATTACTCTGAAAGTAATTATAAGAAAGGTTTGCAAGTAGTAACTACTTGATGAATGCACGGGCTAGCTAACCTGGCCGTCTCGGTTGAGATACAGATGGTTGACGAGAAAGTTCCGCGCGGTTTGCCTGTGTTGTTTCCACCTGTCAGTGTTGTGGGATGGAGGGACTGAGGATGGACAGTGTCTAATAGCTGGGATGGTAGGAACATCCAACTTCCAGTGAACACGTCAAGACCAGTTGACAGTTGGAATGTGAAATAAGAGGTATTGCTGACGTCATTAGCCCGGATGGAAGCGAAAGTAGAAGGTTATTTATTGCTTTATACTTACTGAGTATCATTCCATACATACACAGAAAGAACAACAAACATTTCGGATTATTTCCTCTCTGTAGACATTTCGGCTGCCAGGAACCAATTCCACAGTTTGTCTCGCGATCCTCGGCCTGTTTAGTTTCTGGGTTGAAAGTTTCTCCATTCACCTCACTAAAACAAACCTCTCCACCACCCAGTGGACTTGCTGACATCTTAACTGGCTTCAAATCTTCATGACTGTAAATCCTGCAACATTATAATCATACCTTACTTGATTTACAAATTATTAAAGGAGCTAAATCTCCAAAATACTCGAAATTAAAGATAGGTTGCCAGGCAACGAAACATACGCCCACATCAGCTAAATCTTCATAATATTCGAAATTAAAAACACGTAAGTGTTGTTTAATGTTATTAATGATGCATTATGTAAGAGCTAAATCTGCTTAATACAGATCTTTATTTTGCCCTCAAATGTTGTATAAATTATTATTTAGACATTTATTCACATGCCAAGCCCATAATTAATTTCTAGATAATCGGGTTTTTACGATTTTCAACGGATTTAAACATGATTGGCACTTAGGAATTTAACTAAGAAATGGATCATCGAGACTTTGTTTATTATCGTAACAACGGTAGCAATGATAATGGATACTATGTCGTTCTTCGAACCGCCATAACTATGCCCAGAATGAAGTAATTTGACTGAAATGTTCAATATATATTCATAGTTTTATTTTTGAACTATTATAGCAAGAACGGTCAGCTCTTTATCTAAATCTTACATAACGTATAGTTAAGGCCATTTTTATCTGGTAATTATTACATGTTTAACCGTATATCGTCGTCTTGGGGGGGGGGGATAATATTAACAATTCAGATCGACCCAGACTGTCGATTGCTGGGTTACTCAGATTTTAAATATGTTGGAATATCCAGACAAGTTATGAGCCAAGATCGTTGATTGCCACCTCCGAAGTGAAGATCTGTGAAGATCTGTTCGCTCGATTTCTACATCCTATCTGGGATATAAATAGATTATGGGTGTGGACCCAGACAAAGCCACAGTAATAAATACTTGTTCTTTTTGACAGGAAGTTCATTAAGATTGCACGTGTTGTTGTTATTTAGTTGTATTTTACGTCCGCTTTCACCGAGGTGATATCGCAGACAAATTGCACGTGTTTACGGAAACCATATAAATGTGAGAATTGACTTGTTAAAGATTCATTATGTAAGATTTAGATAAAGAGCTGACCGTTTTTGCTATAATTGTTCATAAATACAAAATGAATATATTGAACATTTCAGTCCAATTATGAATATTTGCAGTGTGGTCTCGATTGTCAAGTACCATGGCCACGACAATTTGTCGTTTGAATAAATGTGGAAATACTAAAGTATAAAACATTTGAATCAAGACAATCAAAAGACCTAAAACAGGCAGCTTTAGTTCTTGTATAATATAAATATAAAGATATGACATCCTGTCACCGACGAAATATAAAAGGTGAAATATAACAGCACCATTAGCATCATGTAGCTGTCTATAATAAAATCATTTATCCTACTGGGAAATTAAATAAATATCGTAGTGGGGTTAAATAACTGGCATAGCTTGGTAAATGCTAAAACAAAACGGTTAGTCAAGGGATGGGTAGGTTAAAGTAGATGGGGCCAGATTGAAAATCCTGCAGAATCTCTGGTTGGACCATTATTATTCAGCGCGCAAAATATCCGGGCTATAAAAACAATACTATGTATTTGGTCAACAATCTATGGAACTTGGGTCCCAAATAAAACAATTTTCTTGGGTTTGGGGCCCTTTGCTTTTACGCATATTTGTGAATTATTTTCAAAGTTTGTGAACCCTCTAGAGTCCACATTTTTTGTCCGATTTAGATGAAACTTAAAATATATGTTAAGGATCAATAACATGGGACAATTTGGTCTGAGATTTCGTTGCTTGAAGGTTGGCCATCTTGAAAATGGCTAATGGGCTCGTTCAAAAGAGAAGTCCTCGCTCTTCAAGGAGTATTTGTGAGGACTTTGATACTTGTATCTATATTTTGATACCTGTATCCATTTTTTGATATCTGTATCCATATTTAAAAGCGTTCCTTCATATAATTGTTTTTTTTTAAAAAAAAACTGTGTACTCACTTCATGAAATAATTCAACAAATCAAAATAAATATAATCGAGTATTCTGTTTTTAATCCAAATTAAAGGAATTTTGTATCTTTAATAACATGCGACGTGATCTAGTAGACAAGACTATAGTCACTAGTAGGGTGGTGTAGACAAGACTATAGACACTAATAGTGTATTAGTTTATTAACATGACAGGAAGTGCAGTCTCCGGTTACACGTACTTTTAATATTAAATAGCGCAACTAATTATATAACAGCAAGTATTCCAAACATAACAGTTACTGTATCAGCTATATTTCTAACATATCAGTTACTATATAAACTGATGTAGTGCCTATCTACCTGCCGTATCAGCTATCTACCTGCCGCATCGGTACCATACCATTCATACATGCAGTGAGGTATGGTATGTAATATGAGTCATGACAATGAAATGAAATGGGGTTTAACGTCCTACTGTTCTGCTCCTATAGTGGGCTAATGAAGACGGGCATACGCCATACAGTGTGCTATGAGGGAAATTTTGCCCGGGCAGCGGCACTATCGCCTACTCTTATATCGAATTCCAACTGCCAAGGGATCTTTTACGTGCATTACGTGTTAAAATTTCGTGAAACAGGCCCCTGGGTTGAAGGCGAGTGGGGGGGGGGAGGGTAGGAATATTATCACCAGTGGAGGTCCCCCAGTATTTCAGGCAACTGGGACAATGGATTTAACGTGGCCTCTCGATCTGTGAATCAAACTAACATAAACTATTTTAACTTAATTAAATTAAGCGTAAATTTTCAACCGCTTCTCTCAACAGCAATACATTTCACCATCCCATGTGGTTATTTTCCAGTTAATTTGGCGGCTAGAGTTGGGTTGGTTTAGTTCTTAATCAGTTTTAGTGCCGATGCTTTATGGGCCTCGCGGTCGGAAATGAAATGAAATGGGGTTTAAAGATGGGCCTCGCGGTCGGAAAACATTAATCGCGTCATAGAAAAAAGACTGCCATTAACTATGCTTAATCTAAACCCTAAAATGCTCGCTTCTCAAAGCTGGACGTTCATTGTTGGGAGGGGGGTTGGGGTTCAGTCAAAAAAAGAAATTAAAATTAAGTTGTTTTTATATATATATATACAGGGTTAGGGTTTTTATGGTATATATTTAAAGTTATCGCTGTTAACTTTGTTGTACAAGCCGCCATACTTAATTTATTTATTTGATCGGGTTCGACATATTCAAAATGTCTCCCTTTCTCACTTTTCTGAGTACACAAGGCCGTAGAGCCAGTGAGTGACGGTGCCGGGGGAAGGGTTCTATAGCCTATTAAAATTGAATCAAGGATTCGGTCCCGGCCATCACCACACACACCTCTGCAGGCAACCGATCCCGAGTAATCTACGGATTCTGAAATCTCAACCCCTCAACTATACAAGAAGACGTTTTGGCTATTCAGCATATTCCTACACTATACCCTACCGGGGTTTTAAATAGTCGGAGATTTCAGCTCGCTGAACTATTTGACATTTTGGTATGTCAGTGCTATATTTTGTACTTGTGTACAAAATAAGTTTATAGACAAAAATTTATTTTTGTAAGTGTATTATATTGTACTTTGACTAAGTTTGAGTACGAATATATATATTATTATTATTACCGGTAATAATATGCTGGTTGTCTGGGCTATATTAATGCCATGCTGGACTGTTTGTTCTAATGATATTCTGGAGTTGTTTTTTCTATATTCATGCACTATTTGTTTTAATGTTTCGTGCGACAGCCATGATAACAAACTGGTGAACTCTGTTTACAGTGTCGACCACTAAACACGTGTTTAACTTATGGCCCTACGTCATGTAACCAAAACATGGCTATAGGCCTATTTAAGACGTTCTGTTCTTGGTATTTATGGCGGACCCACCCTCGTCGTATTTTCTTACAATAGGCATAACTATAACAGCATTATACATGTGAATATATTACATGATGATAATGCATCCGCTCATGTCCTGTTCAAGATGAACACCTATTAACCTACATCATGTACATAGTACAAACGGTACAGTCAACATCAATCAACACGACTAGTCCATTATCAAGTCGAGTCAACGAGTGCTCACTATTGTCGCCATTGTTTGTGTACAATAACGGTATTCACGAGGCCATCAACCGGTTGCTGTAAATACGCGGAAAATATACGATATCCTTACCTCTATTGCACGTGCTTCTAATGTTATTACGATCAATCCCTCTCAAAACAACACATCTTAAAGGTTACGAGACATGTTCAAGGGGGATAACTCTATATAATAAAAGGGAAATAACTTAGTATTCTCGGTGGCGTCTTGTGCGTTTGCTTGTTGTTTTTGATGTGCGTTATTAAATTGTTTTTCTTCCTACCTCATATTATATTACATTACGTCACCACCTCGACTCAAACTTGGGAGAGAGAGAGAGAGAGAAAGAAATGGGGTTTAACGTCCACTCGACACAAACTAGGTCATTTCGGGACTAACATATGGTTTAATTTTATTTACATAATTCGCTTGCGCGTAGGGGTCTTTAGCAGTAGGAGGAAACCGGAGGACCCGGAGAAAACCCACAAGGTTGGACAGGCGACCCTACTCCTTGCCACGTAAAACCGGGGATTCGAAACCACGCCAGTCGACTCAATGACAGACTTTATGATACCGCGCGCGCACGCTAACCATTCAGCCATCCAACCCCCCTTCAAACTTGGGATGTCTGACTGAGCTTTTTTTTTATAATCTGCAACCTGTGAATCAAGGGTCAAAACTATCAAAACGGATTTTCTCCCTAAAACTTGAAGTATTTAACCGCCGGTGACAGCATGGGGAGAAGTTTAACAGTGAGCCATCCTAATTTTCTCTGTTGATCCATGGAGGACATCTTTCATGGATATAATTTATTCCACTTCTGGGTAGGTTATCAATTCTGTAGGTTATGCTGTACATTCTGAATCTTTCATGATTTAGAAAAAATTGAAATCAAGGAACAGCTATTGTAACATCAGGATTTTTGTTGCATGCAGTGTGTCACTCATCACAGTTCACTATTTAGTATTTTATTTGGCACCCCTCGAGGCCCTAGAAATGGTTCCATTAATGCTTCCAGCTGAATGATTCTAAGCAGGCCCGTAGCCGGCACAATCTACAGTAGGTATTCTAGAGCTATGGTCGGCAAATTTTTTTTTCGGGGGGGGGGGGGAAACACTTTTTCGGGGGGGGGGGGGGGGGAGCAGGGGTTGCTACGGGCCTGATTCTAAGGACTGACTTTGAGCAAGTTTTGTAATTATGTGATTATGCGCCAGCTGGTTATATTTAGGTAATTCTTGGTCCTTATGGGTTTTCTAGGCCTAATACGGTCAATGGTAGTAAAGGGTTTTTCCAGGCCTCCTGGATCCTAATGGGTTCTTAGTTGTAATGGGGTTCCCTGGTCACAACAGGATTCTAAGGTACTAGTATCTGTATAAATACAAACACAACTTGAACAATTAAATTTAAATTATGATTCTTCAACATTTATTATTATTTATAGCACTGTTAACAGTTTAAAAAATTCAGACCAAAACAATTATATTATAAACAATTATAAATTATTCTCTAATAATCATCATCATCTCCACTGATAAATAAACTCATTATATTTAAATAAACTATTTAACAACAGCATACAATGTTCCAGCATATATTCAGGTACTGTTCTATTTTCTATATACCAGTTAGCTGCCTTATCATTTTATTAATAAAAGTTCGTTCTATCTACTGACACTAAAAGATTAAATATTCCACAGACAAATATACAACAGTTGTACCTGCACTATCTCACCTGTAATAATACAACAGTTTATAACATAGAAGTGTTGTACCTGCACTATCTCACCTGTAATAATACAACAGTTTATAAATTACATGTGTTGTACCTGCACTATCTTATAAAATCAAACAGTTTATAAAGTAGAAGGTAGATATACCTGTACTATCTCACCTGAAGAAAGCAGGTAAAGGTCTTACCTCTACTACATGTATCTTATAACATCAAATTGAATCAACCTTTCATCTACTTGGGATTTATACCACTAGGGTTGGCAGAGGTTTCGATCTGATGGTCACAGGATGTTGTGGCCCTTGGCTGCCAGACACCTTCGATCTGATGGTCACAGGATGTGGTGGCCCTTGGCTGCCAGACACCTTCGGCCTTAGGGTCACGGGATGTAGTGGCCCTTTGCTGCCAGGACAATTCAAAATCAGAGCTATTGAAATTTAATCCTTACCCTAACACCAGCTTGTTCGTATTTAACCGCGCTGGCTGAAAGATCCCTCCACACCTTCTTGAAGGCACCTCTCGCCTTTGGACCTAGGGTTTTTTTCTACCCAGTAATTTAAGATAAAAAAAAGTGACAGGATTTTGGGGGGCAGATTATATTACACCTGTTGTCAATTCTTAATTTTAAAATGGATTGTACGGTAATCATGTAACCAATGTTTCTGTAATCATGTATCTAATGTTCCTGTAATCATGTATCTAATGTTCCTGTAATCATGTATCCAATGTTCCTGTAATCATGTATCTACATGTTTCTGTAATCATGTATCTAATGTAATCTTGTAGGCCCTATCTACAGTTTCTGTAATTATTTGTAATTATGTTATTTAATGTTTCTGTGATCAGGTTAAACTGTTCAACTTTCTATTATAGATATCTGTAGTCAGTAATGTTTCTGTGATCAGGTTAAACTGTTCAACTTTCTATTATAGACATCTGTAGTCAGTAATGATTGCACAAGTAGAAGGCAGTTTTACAGCTAGACCTCTATTTCAACTTATCAGTAGTCTTTCTTCATTTTAAAACATCTTTAATTTATAAAACTTTTCTGCCATTTGTCAATCGCACAACTATTATTTCTATTCTTGTCATACAAGAAAACCGGTTGATATTCAACTGGTATTGAAAGGATCTAGTTCTTGTTTAACTGGAACAAAGTGGAACCAGATTTTAAATCATGTTCATAGAACGAACATATAACACTAATATCCTTTCACATTACATTATCCTCCATATTGTCTGTCTTGTACAATATTTATACGGTTTCTCTTAGTATCCTGGTATCCATGACGATATCTCTCGTACAATATTTATACTGTTTCTTTTATTATGAATATGTTGAAAACAAACAAACAACAATAAATCCAATCTCGTTTAGCAAAGATAATCAACTCTTCTGTCACAAAACTAATTTTTTTTTCCCATTCCCATTCTGGTCGATTCAACATGGGACTCCACTCAACAACAATAACTCACGATAAATGGTTATTTCTTCATGATAAAATAATCTACATCTACACCATCAGTGTTTTTATACTCAGTTTCAGGAACGCAATGTTTTCTCATTTAAAGGCTTTTTATTTGTTACGGCCTGCGTAGCCTGTTCTCGAACACGACCCGGTTCCGTTAAAATACTGGTGGTTGTACTCAACATTCTCAGGGCATTCAACACAGCTAGAAAATAACAAATATAACATTTAATTATCTATACTAATATTTGTGACTGTCGTTTGTCTGCCCCCGAGTCTGAAATTTGGGGTATAGTATAGGGGTAGCTCGGACCGGGGAGTAACATAGGCCAGGTGGCGTTAGTCTACCACTTCCGGTTTCGGGTTTATGACCACCGAGCGAAGCCGGGCATTCTTCTAGTAATAAATAATATAATTACATTATATCACATTATATCCACAGCTGCGTCATACAATTACTATCAGTCTCTAGTGTTTTTATCCCTTACCCTTAATTCTTTCAATCTTAGTATTATACAACGACCCATCCTACCCAATATATTATACAGCAACCCATCCTACCCAATGTATTATACAGCAACCCATCCTACCCAATGTATTATACAACGACCCATCCTGCCAGAAACCTGTAATGGTATCACCAACTTCCTCTCTGTATCATTGTAAGATGTTTATTGGGTGCCAGATACAGTAAGATACTTACTGGGTCTAAGTGAAACTAATGAACAATGTTGGTCTAACCAAGCGAGCACAGTTCTACACAGATCATCAATACTAGCTGTTGATACCATATTATTATAGGTATCAAATAATGGCCCGATTATCGTAGAAAACTGACAGAAGATGTTAAGGGTATAATCCACATGTAGACAAGTTCACACAAGAAGAAATGAAATGAAATGGGGTTTAACGTCCTACTGTTTTGCTCCGAAGACGGACATATGCCATACAGTATGCTATGAGGGAAATTTTGCCAAGACAGCACTACAGCCTACTCTTAAATCGAATGCCAACTGTCACAGGATCTTTTACGTGCACGCCAATGTGTACACAGGACCTCGGTTTTTCATCCCATCCGAACGACTAGACAGCTGTCCTTGTCAGGCCCTCTGTCCTGCATCACTGACAAGGGAGAACCACGCCGTAAAATCTGGATGAACTTTCTTGGCCAATACTGGGATCAAACACCCGACCTCCAGGCTATCAAGCCAGTGTCTTACCCACTTAGCCCCAGTGACCCCCTCACATACAAGGATTCTGACATCACTTTGTACCAACAAATGAAAGGGGTATTAAAAATGAAATATAACAGTACAACAAAATAACCAAGACACTAGAATTAGTGGTGTCTATATGGACCATACATGTCTGTATATGGAGCCGAGATGATGTCTATATATGGACTGACATTACGTCAATATATGGACCGAGATGACATCACTATACAACCATATAAAAAGGATACAATCCAGAATTTCCAGTTCTGTAAGGTTCTATTTTTAACATATTCTTCAAACATTTCTTTCATCTGATCCACGCGTTGCCTGGTAACAGGAACACCTGTTTCAGGTAACTGTGACTGGACCATGCTGTAATATAATAAACCATGGTCATAATAACACTCTTTCCAGTAAAAACCCTTTAATTATAACAAGACCTGATTAAAATTTACCTGATAGAATTGTTTAAAACTTCAATTTCTTGTCGTAATATTTCAGCCTCTTTCTGCATCTGGGATCGTTCTGCCTTTAATTTTTTACAGAATTCTGCAGCTAAAATAAAAAGACACAAAGACATCAATTGACCTTGAGGTTTACGTCTGACTATGTTTGTTATATATTAGACCAAGATAAGATTTAATCGTCATTGTCTAGGTCAAATTTTACAATATGCTTGTCTTAAAATAAACGCCTGTTAGTCTGAGAATAGAGGTTTAGTATCGAAAAGTCGTTAAAGTTCATTCCTGTTTTTTACAGCAGGAAGAAAACAATATTAACAGAATAAATAATAAACTTACTTTTCCGTAACATATCAGCTTTACTGGCTTTAGGATTCTGTGCTAATGCTGGTACTAACACAACCAATGTGTCAAAACCATTCTATAAAAATATCAAAATATATGTCAGTTATCTGCAGCTGGTATACAACATTTCTCTTCAATAGAAATAAATAGAAATGTTTTTTTTTTAAATTCCTTGTAAAATTTATAAAATGATTTGATGTTTTACCTTTAAATTACAACGCCGTTTTTGTTCAGCAGATAAATGTGCTGCTCTACGATGTTCATTAAACGGTCCCTTTTCTTCATCGCGTAACGGGGAACACATCCCGGGGCTGGTGGACTGGAAGAAATAACATGACTGTTAAAACAACAAGCACTTGACTGAGAAGTATTAGGTAAGAACTAAATCAGTATATTGCAGGTTTTTACTGGTTTAAAATGTTAATTAAATTATTGACATGGCAGGAGTATAATCAGCTCTCTAGTTCATCAGATGGTCTAGACATTGAGTGGATTATACAATACATTGAATGATAAGATGGTGGTACTCACAGTGACAACCAATTTAAGGACAGATAATCAAGACTATTTATTATTGTTGCATGTTACTTGACAATCGAGAATAAGGACGGTCAATTAGCTGGCACAATTTAGGCTAAGCCTTGTTTTGTCAAAACTTTAAACATTCATAACTTAATTTTCAATATATTTATTTTTGATCTCCATGTTATTATAGGAAGAATGTAAATCTAAATGTAACTTTAAAGATGTTAACATGTTTGACTTACCGGGGAAAGAGTATCACATATTGGTGACTTACCGGGGAAAGAGTATCACATATTGTTGACTTACCGGGGAAAGAGTATCATATATTGTTGACTTACCGGGGAAAGAGTATCACATATTGTTGATGGTGATGAAGGAAATGTACTGGGTGATGTGGGATTACTCGTCTCGGGTGGTGAAGATGTTGGATTGTTGAGAAACGCTGCAAATGATGAGTTAGTTGATGCTGTTAAAAACAAAATTACAAAAACAAACATCATCATTAGTGTCTGTGTGACAGATGATCATGTTGGTCCTTCAGGTGATACACAGGCCCAACCAAGATGGTATTATTATTAATAATTATAGTTTCCAAGTGAAGCACAAAACGATCATATGAAAGGAAGTACATATAAAGTGGCTGCGAATGTGGAGGTATTAAATCGTCATCATCGATTGACATGCCAGTACATCACAGAAGGACAATGAGTTTATTAACTTACGAAAGAAAAAAGGAAAAAAAAAGACACAATCGATTTCGCTCGTCATTTCAAGTTAATAGAAACAATTCTATTCATAGCTACATAAATTAATAGAAACAATTCTATTCATAGCTACATATTTTAATAGAAACAATTCTATTCATAACTACATATTTTAGGGTTTTTATCATTTAACTACGTAAACTTCAAACAAGTAACCTACAAAATAACCTTGGCACGGTGATAACGTTAACAAATGACGTGATGGTGTTCACATAAACTCGTTTAGTCAGCCCTAGATTGTTAACACAATAGTCCAGCAACAAATTAGTGTTTGGTTACGTGAGTCAACGTTTGGTAAAATAACAGCTTCCGTCCTGTCGATGACAAGTGAACAATAACTGTTAACGCTTGTGTAAACTATCAGAGACTCAGAGGTTGAATTTCCAAAATTGTCGTAAGTTGACACTAACTATGCGAGATAAGAAAGCGAAGGCCCGGCGGACTGAAGTGAAATAGGCAAGCAGGAGTCCTCTGATAAATCAGTCGGCCTCAGGGCTACAGATCGACGATTGTGTCGAACACTGATCTTTATCATCATTTCAATAAAGGAGCCAACACCAGGAATAAATTCAGGGCTCCCTGGTTAGTGAGCTATCTTCATGTGATGAAAGTGGTCCCATTCCAGTTTAGGTAAGACAACCCATCCCAGTTTTGAGTGGTTATAAGTAAAATGTGGGATGTAGAGAAAGTCTGATTAGGGTGACAACATTCCAGTTTAGGTAAAATAACCCAACCCAGTATATTTTGGCGTGGTTATAAGTAAAATGTGGGATGTAGAGAAAGTTTGATATTAGGGTTAGGGTGATCCCATTCCAGTTTATTTTGGCGTGGTTATAAGTAAAATGGGGGATGGAGAGAAAGTTACTTACAAGAGAAAGTTTGAACATTTGCTGGTGAAGTACCCAGAGCCTGACTAGCAGCAGCCACAACAACACTAGTAGAAAAATCATTTGGTACCTGTTGAATAAGATTTATACACATTCCTTGTTACATTGATTTAGTTTATTATTTGACCACCTGTTATAATTCTGATATAGGTTAAATTATTACAGGTCAAGATCGATCAGGTATCGAGTAATTCTAACAGGAATGTAGTATTTTAGGTCATTTATTGAAAAACAGGAAATCTGATCAGGACATTACTAACTCCTCATAACATGTGGTACCAGGTGTTCTACAAAGAGTCGACATACCCTGCATCATGTACAACACCTATCAATACTATATATCACACCCTGCAACATTACAACATCTATCAATACTATATATCTAGACTAAATGTTATCAGGTCTTCTAGAGAGAGTAAGCATATTCTGTCTCATGTACAACTGAAATGGGGTTCAATATCCTACTGTTCAGGGCTCATCTGCAACTGAAATGGGGTTCAACTACGGTCTGCACTGACTTGGACCATTCAAACTGTCAAGACTTCTTTTATATTCACTCAAATGTGTCCACATGACATGATTTTTATGTGTTATTCGAATGACTAGTCACTGAGGTCAGGCCCGCCATCCTCCACCTATTGACACTGGAAAACCTGGAGAAATTTCTTGGTCATTTCTTCCTATCATAGGTCTGTCTGTCCTGACAACTGTCATGGTTGGCTGAGATATTTTCTTAATAAGTTGACGCCAGAAATTCCCTTTTTCACTCGATTGTCGCTATTTTTGGGATTCAGAGAATTCAATTCTGAAATGTTCAGTCAAGTATTCCCTTTGTTTATTGGTAGTGATATTTTTATTAAACAAGTTTACGTACCTTAGAGAAGTCTATATTTATTGGTAGTGATATTAAACAAGTTTACGTACCTTAGAGAAGTCTATATTTATTGGTAGTGATATTAAACAAGTTTACGTACCTTAGAGAAGTCTATATTTATTGGTAGTGGTGTATCTTGGGTTAAGTTGATAGTGCCACCATGTAATGGTTGTAGTGTTGATGTGCCACCATGTAATGGTTGTAGTGTTGATGTGCCACCATGTAATGGTTGTAGTGTTGATGTGGTTGAAAGTGAATCAGATGAGCACGCTGAAGATTGTGGTTCAGATTTTACATTTATTAAAGCACCAGGATACGTTCCTTCAATAACAAAAATAAATCATTTATTAAATATCAATAACTCTAACATGTTTCTGCACATTTGGTTGTTTGAAGTTTTATTGTCAGTAGTAATCAGTCAAATGTCTACAGCAGTCACTGCATATTGTATACTTGGTTATTTCGGTACTAACATATGGTATACCTGACATATGGTCTACTTGGTTGCATATTCAGGTCTCTTTAATCTGTCGAACGAAACTCAACGAAATAAGACAGACACCTTTATTCACTTGTCTTGGTAAGATGAGTATGGTATGTAGTAAAGATTTGACTTGTTTTTAGTTTAAGATTACAAGAGATAGACAGACATATTATTTCACTTTTTAGCATTTAGAGGAAACTGTAGGACGCAGAGAAAAGCCCTACATACGACAGGCCAGTTTTGTCAATGATAGACATTATGATTTTAGACCATTCACAACCTAACATGTTAGAAACAATATGTGATATCTACCTTTAGTAAGAAGTTGAGCTAAGTATGTACTCTGAACAGAAGGAGAGGTAGAGGAAGAGGACAGTTGAGAGAGACCCGGAGAGATAGTCGTTCCTCGAGTCGTTCCTCGGGTCGGAGAGGTGGAAGGAGCTGGTGCTATTGTTCTCTGTTTTGAACGATGAACAGGTTTCTTCTAAAATATAAAGAATAAAATACTGTCAGCCATTGTTATATGTAAAATATATATACAGCCAACCATTGTTATATGTAAAATATTATGTAATATCATATAACGTAAAAAAAAATATAACTATCAATTTAAAAATACTGTCTATTACGTATTCTGCTCTAAATGACGATTCTTCACCTCAACACCTTAGAGAGAGAGAGAGATGGGGTTTAACGTCCACTCAACATATTGTTTAATTTTATTTCAACAACTCGCTTGCGCGTAGGGGTCTTTAGCAGTGGGAGGAAACTGGAGGACCCGGAGAAAACCCACGAGGTTGGACAGGCGACCCTACTCCTTGTCACGTACAACCGAGGATTTAACACCTTAGAGACCTTCTCAACACCAATAAACCTTGCAGAATCATTTGATCACAATCAGACAACCTCTTAATTAAGTCTTTTTCAAAAACCAACTCAGGTGATAGATCTTTCGCAGTCGGTGCTCCGAAATTATGGCACTCAATATCAAAAGTATCTCAAAACCGAACTTCTTAATCAAATATACAACTGATTGAATACGGTTCTAGCTGTAATTTTATTTCTCCACAAAATTACATGTAAAATCTGTAAATTAACATAAAATGATCTACAATTTATCATTTATCTTATTAACAAGTCAAACTTACGGGAACAGCGAATCCATCTTTCTTCTGATTGGCTGTAGCTGATGTTATTGTTGATGAAGGTGAAGTGTGATTTCGTCTCCTTCCTGTTTTAGCAGGAGAACCATGGGATATAACTCCCATGGATTGAGTAACAGTTGGGGGAGTGGTCTGGGTATTCTGGACTGTAGGAAAGGTTGATCCAGTATTCGAGCCTTTAACTGGTGTTTTATTGTATAACTGTGAGACGTAGTTGGCCATATTCTCCATTAGAGATGCATTATCTAATAACGAAGAAACGTCGATCGTATCCGCTCGGTAATTCATGTTGTTATTATTACCCTGATCATACGTTCCGTCTAATACTGACATGGTCATATTTATTGCACTGTTGTTGATTGGCTGAAAATATATCAACACTTAAAACTTTAATATAAACCCACAGGATGTGTCAGAGAGAGTGAGAGAGAAATGGGGTTTAACGTCCACTCGACACAAACTAGGTCATTTCGGGACTAACATATGTTTTAATTTTATTTCAATAATTTGCTTGAGCGTAGGGGTCTTCAGCAGTGGGAGGAAACCGGAGGACCCGGAGAAAACCAACAAGGTTGGACTGGCAACCCTACTCCTTGTCACATACAACCGGGGATTCGAAACCATGCCAGTTGACTCAATGACAGGCCTTACGATACAGCGCACACGTGGTACCCTTTCGGCCATCTACCCCACCCCCAAGGATGCGTCAGTGTCAGGTATATCAGAAGTTGGTATGTCAGTCAGGATGGGTCAGGGTTGGGAATATCAGAAGTTGGTGTGTCAGTTTCTGACTTTACACAGTATTTTATAATGAACACAAGTTAAAGTATGAAATTGAAACATTAATGTGTGCCGAGTTATAGACCACGTTCATTCGTCCGATTTGAATGTCTAGGAAAAACTCTAGTTATCAGCCCGGCAAGGGTTACCATGAATATCTAGGAAACACTCTAGTTATCAGCCTAGCAAGGGTTACCCCCTGACAAGTAGGAACCTAGCTTGAAAAAAACAAAGAACGATATCCCTCAGATAACGCAGGAAAGTCAAACTGCGACAATCTTGGCAGACACTCTATAGCAAGGAGACAAGTTATCTACATGTATGAACCAGGGAGCCAGGGTGACTCAGTGAGTAAGATGTTAGCTCGCTAACCTGGAGGTTCCGTGTTCAATCCCTGTGTTGGCCAAGAAAGCTTGTGATTATCCGGGGTGGTTCCCACTTATCAATGGTGCAGGCGAGAGGGTCTTTTAAGGGACACCGCATAGTCGTTTGGATGGGAAGAAAAAATGAGGTCCTCTGTATACTTTGGCGTGCCCTAGAAGAATAGTTGGCAGCAGGAATTAAATGTTATTGTAGGCTGTAGTGCCACTATTCGATATTATAGTAGTCCTTAGCGCCACTGTCCAAGCAAAATATTCCTCATAGCACAATGTATGGTCTATATCACACTGTATGGTCTACAGCACACTGTATCACACTGTATGGTCTACAGCACACTGTATGGTCTATAACGCACTGTATGGTCTATGCCCAGTCGGAGAAGAACAGTAGCCCGTTAAAAGCGATTTTATTTACCTACCTGAGTTTGTGAAGCCTCGATACCAGAAGAGGATGTGTATATAACCTGATTCTTTGTACCCAAAATCTCTAAAATAACCAAACACAGAATTATAGCCTTAGGTTAGGGTTTAAATATTATCAACCAATCATCACAAACAATACAACAGATAATACTGGAGCGATTTCGACAAATAGATAGGTTTTTAATTGTAATTTGAAGATGAGTAGAGTTTTGATATTTTGATGTCTTAAGGTAGAGAATTGAACAGACATGATGATGCCTAGAGAATTATTGTTTGATCTGTTGGATGTTTAAATATAAGAGGAAAAGACTCACCATCAATATCCATAAACTCATCTAAATTAGGTTGAAGTTGAATCAGACCAGGTTGTATTAAATCAGCACAACTAATCTGAGCTAGAAATAATAGAAAGAATATAACAATACAATGGCTTCTTGTTTCATTCAAAAAGATGTTCCAATTGCAAACATTTTAGGAAAAATAGTAGATTAAGAACGGTTTATTAAAATACCCTACCCTGAGAACACCTTGCCCTGAGAATACCCTATACAAATAACACCCTGCCCCAAGCACTACGACTAGAAGTAATTATAGCTAATTCAAATTATAAAACAGAATATGCAGAATTCACGGTGATTAGGATGTTTTATATTATTAACTTACAGAATTCGCGGGGATTACAACATTTTATATCATTAACTTACAGAATTCGCAGGGATTAGAATGTTTTATATCATTAACTTACAGAATTCGCAGGGATTAGAATGTTTTATATTATTAACTTACAGAATTCGCGGGGATTAGGAAAAGCGAATGGTTGATTCAATGAAGCAAAGAAATTATCAGTAAAATCCATCTCCATGAATTCTCCCGTCATCATTAAATCTGTAGCAGCTGTCACCTGAGATGATCGAGGTAAAACATTGGTTGATTTTACTCTTTCAAGTAATTCCGCTATTGATACCGTCTGAAATATAAAATAACAACTTGACCAGTGACCCACATTGATTGAGATTCATGTTATTGATTGTTGACAGAACTACAAGAGTCAACCATTTAGCCACAGACATAAATAAACAAACCTCATTCACATCAGCCTCTGCACATGTCAAATAAACAAACCTCATTCACATCTAGCCTCTGCAAATGTCAAATAAACAAACCTCATTCACATCTAGCCTCTGCACATGTCAAATAAACAAACCTCATTCACATCTAGCCTCTTCACATGTCAAATAAACAAACCTCATTCACATCTAGCCTCTGCACATGTCAAATAAACAAACCTCATTCACATCTAGCCTCTGCACATGTCATCTAGCCTCTGCACATGTCAAATAAACAAACCTCATTCACATCTAGCCTCTGCACATGTCAAATAAACAAACCTCATTCACATCTAGCCTCTGCACATGTCAAATAAACAAACCTCATTCACATCTAGCCTCTGCACATGTCATCTAGCCTCTGCACATGTCAAAGAAGATAACTTAAATTCCATGTTTATATTCATTATAAACCTGTGAGTTTTAAATTCCATGAAAACATGCAAATTGTCAGTAGTAAAGTGTTTATCCCACCTGTAAATTCTCAGTAGAATCAGGTGGTTTTCGGGAAATTCTTTCCTTGAAATATTTTCTCCATTTTTTATATTCAGCTGTGACTGTATCTAACCGTCTCTTCCAGTATTTACCTTCTAATACCACCGCCTGTCAATAAAACTACAGTTATAGTACGATAATACAACACTAAGTCATCATAAACAACCACCTGCTAAACTGGGCTAATAAAGA